TTTCACATGTGGTGTTTCGTAAATATGTTTTCAATCTTTTTAATGTTGAAAAAAATCGTTCACTGTTAGCAATTGTAACTGAGAGAGTTGCTAAAATCTGTAAAAGTTTGAAAGTAGAAGGGAAAATTGATATGTAACATTTTTGAAGAGCGTCGATAGCATTTTTTGGTAAATTTTTAGTTCTTGTAAATTTTTGTTGCCAAATTTTAATTTCACTCACAGCTACTAATACACTGCAATTTAAATCACCTGATTACATTTCAACTGCCTGCTAAATTTTGTCTTCATATTATATACTATTGGATGATGGTAAAATAACGTTAAAATTTTCAATTATAGATCTATGAGATAAAAATCGATCATTTGAAAAATGATTTATAAATGGAATGAACAAAGATATTCTGTAATAATCCTCAGGCAAATCAAACTGGATATTGCATCTGTTTTTTTGTTTATTAGTTGTACGAGAAATATATATTTCAATGTTTAAGGTATCACATTTAGATTTTACATTATTAAATATAATTTTAAATTCACTTTTATCATTTAATCTTAGTTGTTTAATTATATTTACTACGTCATCGGCGGTTTGAATAGCTTCAACCATATCTATATTCTTTGTCTGAAGAAACTTACTTAATGGAAAACTTAAATTCAACACGTGTCCCAGTATATAAGTTGCTAGTATAAATTCTAGTTGTTTTATAGCACACAGCAATTGGTATGCTCCTGATGAAGCATCCTTATCAAGCCAAGTACAAACTTCTGATAAACTATCAATTATTGTATCAAATGACTCGAGGAAAATAATTATTGAGTCATGTCGCTCTACCCATCTAGTTGGACATAACAGTTTCAAACAGTTATGGGTTGACGAAGAGCATACACGTTCTATTGATTCAGATAAAACATTATTTTTTTTGTGTATTTAAAAAAAATGCAAACTTATGATGAGAAAAAAACCGTTTTCATACCTACGTGATAAATTGATAACATGGAATATCGATAGTCTAATAATCAATATGATGTTATGTACACATTATTATATTGTTACGTACCATTTTTCAAATAAAAACAAATCGTTTTCAGCCACGAAGGAACAACACAAAATGAGTAATTTATTGTTCTATAATTGGTCACCATTGGTTGTCTACCACGGTCAATTATCAACGAAGCCGTGCATACAGGGAATAGAATAATCAAAAAAAATATTAAATAAAAACTAAAGGTGGGTGGGGGGTTACAACACCAAACCCCCCTGGCTACGCTACTGATCATACTTAATTTATTTTAGTAAGATTACTTAACATAGAGGTACACGAAAAACAAATCAAATGTTTTCTTTTAAACAAAAGGTTCGCGTCTTAACTCATAGACGTTAACTCACGGTGTTCGCAATTTCACCTATGGTTACTCCAAGTACATCCGATGTCGCTATGAGTTAACTCGCCGCTGCTACTTATTGGTATTTTTTTCTTTTGATCATACGTCGTTTAACAACATTGCACGCCATTGGTAGTATCATAATTTATAACAGAAGAGTCTAAAATATTTCACTCCGACCTTTGGGTTTTTATGTCACTCCCCCTCCCCCCCCCCCCACACACACACACACACAGTGTTTCTATTAGGCAAGCATATTTAGTGACTCGAGTTCAAAATTATCATATTAGTGCTATCCATATCGTCGTAGCAGCAACCGTGCCCCGGTGGACGACGACAACCCCAAGCCGCGGAGAGGAGTACCGAAAACAGCAACCTATGAATACGTTATTATAACTATTTATTATACAACGCTCTGGATTTGTATAATATACACGTATACATAACGTATATCATTTCATTTTTACAATACATTTTATTATTTTATGTTCAAATATTTTATTAATTTTTTTATTATTTTTAAAAACGACGTACCTATGATAAATATAATGTTAAGTTTCCTCACTCCCCAACCACCGATCACCATCGTACATTTCTCGTTACGCATATACCTGTAATGGTGTATTAAAATATCTGCATAGATTACGGTTAACAGTAATCTGTGAACATGCTATGTAATAAGTAACACGTGCGCAAGAGCGTTCGAAAATGTTCAGCGTCGCGACGATTCGGTTTGAACATACGTCTCAGGGCATATTTAGGGGGGGGGATTATATGGGTGTTGGAACACCCCCCCCCATCGTCCGTATTTTATGGTATTTCACCAAATTGCAAACTTAATTACAGTATAATTTAACTAAACGTAGGTATATGTAAATATAATCATTTTCATTAATATAATAATTTATATAAATACATGTTATTTATAAATGTAAGATGTAGGGGGGCAAAACCCCAACTTACTGTAAGCTAATTAAATTTTAAAACACCCCCGTTAAATGAATCCTGGATACGCCACTGATACGTCTACATCACCATCGTACAGTTATACTTAAGCTCATAACATATAATATTTTAAAATTGAAAAAAAAATGTTTTTTCGTACTTTTTTTTCAGTGCACATTATACTCACGATATAAACACGAAGATAAAAAATATATTTTACTTTTCGTAATTTTTACAATTATTTTTTGTCAATAACTATTATCATCATACTCAATTTAACAGAAAGAAAAAAAACAATTCCATATACTTTGTAATGCAGTTTGCATAGACGATTCAATTTAGTCGGACGACGTTACAAAAAAAAAATATATATATAAATAATAATAATAATATACAAACGTTTTTTTATACATAGAATTTTTCAACAACAATATATATATATATATATACATACACACAATGACATATTTATATAAATGTATATATTTCTATACATAAAATACACAGGTATATTTTTACATTGTACGAGTACATCAATTAAAACGCTTGCTAAAATTCGATAAACTAACGTTCCAAAAACGATCGAAGATAAATAAAATTTCCAAACATTTGACACGGTTTGTTTGATTAGGATGTATACATTTTATAAAATGTATTATATAATAATTAAATAATAATAATAATAATAATAATAATAATGAAAAAATACATCTCGTCCGTTTATATATAATTTTCAATAAGTATATTGTATATACATATTTTATATGTATACATACATAATCTATTTGAGCTTTATTTGTACTAATTCCTTTACTTGAAAATGGTCATATTATAATATGTATTAACAGGTACATAACTAGAGAGATACAGAGGGTAAGTAAGAGTTGTAGATGAGAACAGTATATATTTTACAATAAACCTAAGAGACTTCCGTGACCGTAATAATCCTACCACCCCTCCTCCCGGAAAAAGACCTCAGAGAGCGACCGTTTCGTCGAGTGCACTCGTACAATATTTAATAATAACATACCCAACAAAATAATAACATAATACACGTACAAGGGGCATTATACGGGTTTCACCAGAGGATTGACCGACGCACAGGTACAATATTATAATACGTGATGGTACAATAATAGGCCCGTTGTTTCGCAGGTTCAGATTTTCATCGGTCACAGCAAACAAACAATGGCCGCGATTGGTCTTTTTATTTTAATACATTTTTTGGTTATTTAAGCAGACTTTGAAAACGATAATGAGATCATTTCGCTCGATTATATATTATATGTATATTATAATGCCTAAAATTATACGATATCAACAGTGTTACATTACATTTAACGGATTAGTGTACAGAAAAATAGTTTTCCGAGAGACCATAACTTACAATTTATAATAATGTAATTTACGCGCGTGCGCTCAAGTGAATTAAACAACCAGTGCCGTAACTGAAATACTCGAGGTCCGTGTGCAAATCAAAATCTTGAGGCCCCATCATACCGTTGTACATTTTTGAGCATTTGACCTTTTGAAGCCCCATAATATGGAAGGAGGCCCGGGACCTGCGTGCAATGCACACCCGGTTTTTACGGCACTGCCCTTAACTTTTCCGCAGGCTGGGGCTCTTGAGGACGTGCGAAATGATAAAAAAAAAATCCACGATTGGACATTTTAAATACGTTAATCTTTTTTTTTTTTTTAAAAAAAAACGATGATAGTTTTTGGTATATATTTTAATTTTTTTTTTAGACGCGGCACAAGGTGTTGTTATGACAAGAAATTTTAGTTTACCTTCCTCCTTACCCTACCCAACACGCATGAACGACATTGACAAAATCAACAAAGCGATTGGAAAATAATTTAATAACATTAATTACATCTCGTAAAACGCAGTCGATGAGTGAAAACAGTTCGTTGTCGTATCAATGAATCGTAAACTTTAAAAATTAAAATGGTAAAGACACAATAATAATATTATGTATGATCGAAGAAAAACGAAAAAATAATACAACACTAATCAATATTATTTTTAACAATTCAACACAATTTATAATTAAAATAAATTATTTAGATAATCAAAAAATTTAATACAGTAATAATATTTATGGTATATTTTTTTATATTTTATATACAGGAAATAATAGTTGGAAACAAAAGTTAAAATATCTTCAAAATTGAAAAAAAAAATAAATGTAAAATGATAAAGCTAGAATTGTGACTTTTTTTTCATATTTTAACTATTTGTTTATGAATGAAACTAAATAACTGTTATAATTGACCACTAACGATTGACATAAAGTTAATATGTTGAAAAAAAACAAGTGTGAAATGTAGCAAACAATGAATTTTAAATTTTATAAAATATTACCAACATTTGAGAATCTTAAAATTAATACTATTTCCAAAAAATCCAAGTTAAGCAATATTTGATTCTATCCATTCACATTTTTTAAATACCAGATTAAAAAATAGTTACTTTACTTTTAAATGTTTAACTAAAACAAAACAATATACTAGATACAGAAATCAGAACTACAAGGAAAAATGTATATGTATGTATCTATTGTCCATACAGATAAATATATATATATATATATATATATGATTATGTATATTATATACAGAGGCGTGCACTGATTTTTCACTATTAAATTCAATGACAAAAAGCAATCTTTTAAGTCACATAACACAGCCCAATTTTTACAAAATATACATAGTTCAATGTTAAAAGTATAACAAAGAAATTATACTTAAATAAATAAATTCAGGAGTTTGGATTTAATTCGTTGGTAAGTACTACTTCTTCTGTAACTGGTTCAGATATAAAATCATTTCCTGTCAAATCTAAGTCAACATACATTTTAGATTTTTTTTGTTGATTACAATCACTATTACGACTATCCACGTCCTCAGGTTTGAATCCAAAGTGATCAAGACCAACATGAGAATTGGAATTTTCTGCACCTGTACACATGAGGACATTAGACAGAATCATTTTCTCATTGTCGTTCTGATCATTTGAAAAAACCTCTTCATTGCTATGCATCTGATAGTCACCATCTTCAGTGGAAAATTCAATAGTGTTGTTCATCATTGCTTCCAGAACACTCATCTCTTCTTCTGCCACGTCTTCCATTTTTATATTAGTGCTATTTTTTAAAGGATCATTTTTGTTACCACTACTAGTAGACCCCATCAAGTCTAACTGAACACTGTCTTCTCCAACCACGACATATTCAACATCAACATCTGCAGTACCTACAGCATTAGGTTGTGTACAAACATTATTCATTTGTTGCAACATGTCTGTATCAGAAGCAGTACTGTTTAATTTGAAAGTCCCTCTTTTTCTTAGAGGGAGTCGGCCTAACAAAGCCTCTGAAAACTTTTCATTACCACAATCTAAAATTTTAGTAATCATCGGTGAAGACTTATTTTCCAGTGGCATGTTTATTTCGGACACACTAAGCAACGGAGAATCTTTTTTCCTTTCTGGATTTGAAGATATAGACTCCTTAAATGCTTTTATATCCTCTGAGGTTAAAACATACTTTTCTATATTTCCATCATCGGCCACTTTATATAAAACAACATCATCTGGGTTGTCTGGAGGTGAATGACTTTTGATATTTCTCAGAATCGGATCTTCTACATTGGGTTCTAAATCTATTATTGGTAAATTTGGCTGAGCAACTTCTGGTATATTATTAACCATTTCTTCGGGTTGCTTAAGATTTGCAAGGTTCATATTATCAGTAAGTTGGAAATGAAGAGCATCTTCCTTAGCTAATATATCATAGACATTTTCTGTTAATGTTATATAGTTACCATCACCATTCTCGATTAGTATTGGAATATCTGTTGGAAGACCAGCTCCTTTCAATGCATTAATATACCTCTCAGAATTTTGAGTTTGGGTCTCTTGAGGTTTTTGTATTTTCGGTTTCTCATCAAGTTTATCATTTTTAGTAAGTAAGCTGGCTAACAATGGTGACCTATTTACATCTTCGTCTGTCTTTATATCATTAGGCATTGACTTTTTTACATCATATCTATTCTCATCCAATGAATCTGCAGGTCTTTTCTTACCACGTTTATACTTTTGGTCTAAATCATCGTTAAAATTTGGATTGTTATTGTCTAAGCCATTACTCATAGGTGATTCCTGATGATTCATAATTGTACTACTACTACTATTATTAATACTACTATCATTAGTTTTATGTTTTGATGGTGATATGTAGGAGAGATTAGAGCCAGCAAGTGATAGTAGTATTTGGGCAGACTCTGTTTGTGGTGGAGTAATAGGAGCTGGTTTGCTTACCAATGGTTCACAACATGGACTCTGAAGATGAGCTTTAGGTCGACCTCTTCCAGCACATGGTCGTTTTTCATTGGTACTATTATTTTGACCAAGGCGTGCTATAACAGCTAAAAATAAATTAAATATAAATTACCTTTTATAAAATCAATTACTGTTGTTTAAAAATACTAACAAACAGGAGAAGAATAATTTCCATTTTCTGAAAGTTTAGGTGAAATTGGTGTAACTGGAACTGGTGAAGATGAAACTTGACAAATTCTAGTTTGAGAAGTTGTACTACCAACAAGTGAAGGTGGCTTTATAGGTTTTGATTCTTGTAAGCTTTCATGAGCTAATGATGATAACCCTTTTACCTGTAAAAAATCATTTTAGTATTTTCTTTTCTTTTTTCAATAATATCTTATAACATTTTACAATATCATTGTCAAACAAGTTCAACTTTTAGTTAATTTGTTTAAATGTTTAACTATAAATAGTAACTCTACTTTTATTAATATTAAAATACATAATATTTCAACTATCAACTCATATTTTAATAAAATCGTATGTATTTAAATATTTTACAATATGATGTCTTAAATTTATAATTAAAATAATAAAAACCACGGAAAAATTATATTATTGATAAAAATTAATCACAAGGATTGAAACTAATAAACCATAAAAAAAATTACAAATTCAAGTTAATTACTATTTAACATATATAATAGTAATTACTTATAATAGTGTAATTAATTAGTAAATAAGACTTTTTTCAATAAATAAATTAGATAAAATATACTATTTTATACAATTTAACCAAGAGACCAAGAGATAAGAGTAAGGTAAACACAACTATTCTAATTAATTATAGTGGCTTACTTATTAATAAGTAACCATTAAATAACAATTCATTGGTATCTTAATTGGTATTTATGTTAATTTAACGATAATATTTTTTTAATTTATTTTTAATATATATATATATATATATATATATATATATATATATATATATATATATATATTAATAGTTTATATAAAATCAAAAAAAAAAAAGAAACTTGCACATAATTATATTAACTAGAATAGACTATAATGCAAATTATAAATATAAAATAATAATAAGTATTAATTAGTAAAATAAATATGTAGTAGTTGTAAAAAAATTGATATTTATATTGATATTTTTAAATATATTATAATCTAAATAAAAATTATTTCTTCTTATATTCAAATATTTTTAACTAATTTTACTACAATTAATATTATAAAAATTTTGATTTTCTGAAATGATAACAAAATAAATAAATCAAAAGAATCCTACATTGACATAACATATATATTATGTTATATTATTTGAATTATAACCAACTTTGAATATATATACTTATTTTCATAATAAAATAAATGTTTTTTTTTTCAATACATTAACATTAATTAATACAGTAATAATTTAATTACTAAATAAAATGTAGCTATATTAACATTTCTAATAAAATAAAGATGTAGATATTCCTTTAAAATGTATGTCATAAATATTTAATCAAAACTTTTTATCTGTAAATTTAAACCCTAAAAATGCTATTAATAGTAGTTATTTAAATTATTTAGAAAATGATTTCTAGGTTGAAACATTTAGATACCAATAACAATTCAGATTTAAATAATGATGAAAAAAAAAATTCCAAAATTGTCTGTTATATTATTTTTATTATATAACATTTTCTTACGAGATTACCATAAGAGATAATTAATTGGAATTTAATTTAACCATTTACATTAAATTGAATAATTAATATAATTAATAAAAAAACATATATATTATATTAAAATCACAATATATATATATTTTAATGGTATAATTTAAATTTTTTATGCAGGCCTTAAACCTTAACACATCAAAAAATAAAAAATCCATACATTTTTAAAATAAAATATAAAAACATACAATAAAAGGTATATTCTTATATTATTATTTTAAATAATTTTGCATTATTGATAGTATACAATAAATAAAACACCAAATAATTAAAAATGAAGTACCTAATAATAATTTTTAACTTATTTAATACATTTTTGTAATCTATAAAGAAGTTAACTAGTTAAAATTGTAGGTAACAAATAATTATTTAAACATTTTTCAACTAATTTAAAGTAATATATATTTTTAATTTGTGTTTTTGAAATACAAATTACTATTAACTAATATTATTAGTATACAAATTTATAATGACAAGTATAAGTAGTCGTTTAATATTAGTACTTAATTATAACTCAGAGTTTCCCAAACCATGGGTCGTGACCCAATATTAGGTCGCGAAATTTTTTTGATGGATCGTACTCCCGGTTACGATTATGGTTATATGGTTAGCCGTAAATTGATACCTCTATAATATAAACCTCTATTTTGTATTATAATGTGAAGTCTAATTAGTATTGTAGAATGCATGACATTGATTTTACATTGGAAATCAATATATTTTTAGTAATCTTTAAATTATTTTATTACGATTATGGAATACTTGTTATCGGTACATGTGCTAATGACTAGTCGATGTGGGTATCAGTCTCGGACGATTTAAGTTGTTAGTATTGTTTTAGGTTCATAATCTAAATAGTTGAGCAATGAACATCGAGACTATAAAGTATGAAAGGAGTTACGAAAAGTTATAGTTTAAGATTAAACACACATTTTTAATTAATCAAATTGTATATAAGTTTACATTTTTTTAATGGATAAATTTATTGTTCGTAAAACTACAGCCGGTGATATCCGCCAACCAGCTCCAACAGGCAGTTCAGTACAAAACAAAAAAAATTAAAATTAAAACATCAGGTAATCGTAGTTAGAGTACAGATTTCAATAAATTTGGATTTCGATGTTATGAAATTAATAAAATAGTTAAACCACAATGAGTTGTATGTGGAGAAATTTTATCTAATGAAAGTTTAAAACCCACCAAATTAAAAAGACATCTCGATACCAAACACCCAAATGTAAAAAATATACCTACAGAATATTTTGAACGCTTAAATTACCAGTCATACAAAGGCAATACCTTTCACGCTGTCACGCTACAGTTTCTGCTGTGAAGGCTACATATTTAATTAGCATATAGAATTGCTAAAAATAATTAACCACATACTATCGGTGAAAATCTTATTCTGCTCACTGCAATAGATATATGTACAGAAATATCAGGAAAAGAAGCAACAAATAAATTTAAATTAATACCAGCGTCAAATAATACTGTACAGAGACGCATTGTTGATATTAGCGAAAACATATAACAATTATTAAACAGAATAAACTCAAAACACGCATATTTCTATTTTCCATTCAACTAGACGAAAGTACAGACGTTCAAAATAAAGATATATTATCTGTTTTTATAAGGTATTATTTTGACGGGAATATTCACGAAATTTTTTTGTTCTACAATAGCTTAAGCACAACAACAACCGGTGCAGATATTTATAGCTCTTTAAAGAACTTTTTTTTTTTTAAAACAATATTCAGTGGATAAACTGTGGAGGTGTAACTACTGATGGTGCGGCATCGATGATAGCAAACATGTTGGTGTAGTATGACGTATTCAAGAAGTAGCCCGAAGATGTCGAATGGTCTCATTTGTACCAAAAAAAAAAAAGTCAACTGAATTAAGTAAAATTCTTAGTGAATCTGTTATAATTATTAATTTTAAAAATTTGGAGCATTAAATAGTAGATTGTTTTCCAAACTCTCTGAAGAAAATGAACTAAACGTTAAATCACTTTTAATTCACTCAGAAATACGTTGGCTCTCTCGAGGAAAATACCTTTTCAGACTATTTCAGCTTTATCATGAAGTTTTAAAATTTCACAGCAACAAAAATTCCGATTTGAAAAAATATTTTTGTGACAAAAATGGTTAATAATATTGGCATATTTAATAGATATTTTTACCATGCTTAATAACTTAAATTTATCGATGCAAAGTAAAAATGTTGACATTTTTGACCAGTCAAAAAAAATTGCTTCTTTCAAAAAAAAAAAAATTTTTTTATTTACAAAAACAAAGTAGAAAAGGGAAATATTGAAATTTATTTTGTACTAAGTGAGTTTCTAGAAGAAAACAACTTAGTGTATGTCAGTGATATCAAAACAATTATTTCATTGCATTAAATAGTTATTTTCTAAAAGATATTCGTGACGATTTTCACTATTTTTATTAAAGAGTTGAACTTCAATATGCTTCTTGAATCGAAGATTATCAAACTTTATTATTATAAAACTTATGAAAATAAATTAAAAAAATTAAACTCTTATAGATTTTTGATGAACAGTATATAATAAATATCCAGAACATTCAATTAATGTGATAAAAAAAAACTATTACTTTTCCCTACCACTTATTTATGCGAAAAAGAATTTTCTACCATGGCTATTAAAACAAAACAAAGAAGTATATTAGATGTCACATATGACATGCACATCAGTTAATTCGAAATTGTACCCCAGTAGGAAATATTATGCAACAACATCCAGAATCGCCAGTCACACTAAAATCAGCAATAAATTATTCAGTTTTCATATTTTACTATTTTTTTATAAATTTTTTTAATAATTTAATTTATTTTATTTATTTATTATGTATTTATTATTTAGTATTGTATTTTATAAAAATTTAATGATAATTCATTTTAATAAAATTATTATTTATTTATGCCATATTTGTTTTTTTTTTTTTTTTTAGTAGGGGGTCGCGTACCCAATAAAGATAAAATGTATGAGTCGCCATTGCAAAAAGTTAGGAAAACACTGGTATAACTTATAATTATGTAACAGAAAAATTGTAACCTAATAACAATAATGGAAAAAACTATAAAACTAACATTGATAATTATTTGAACCTCAGAGTATTTCTATATTAAAAGTTATGCACCTTTATTAAATAATTTATGTAATTTATTGATTAGTATTTCTTAAAATTTTAATACAGTAAAATATGTGATTCATCAAATAATATATAATAAATAACATGTATTATAATTTTTAAGATAAGATTTAAACTGATAATTGAATTATTTATAAATGTTATAATATAATTCGAAATCATGAATGGGCAAAAATAAAACTATTCAAACAAATGATTAACCTTATATTAAGATTAAAAATTATTATATTAATATTCATAAGATAAATAATAAATGTAAGTATGAAAGTTCAATAGTTTAAGATATTATTGTAAAACTTACTTCAACATTTTTTACTAAGTTTATTATTATAAGTATTGTAATACTAAATAGTGAATTATTTTAAAATACATATTTTTAATTATTCTTTACAATATTCCAATATAATATGTTTGTGAAATAAAATAAAGATGTAACAATAAGTATGTGAAGAGAAAATAAATAAAAAGTGGTAAATTTATTTATAAAAATATTAAATTTTTAAAAAAAATTTTAAGCTAATTTAACAATTTAAATTAAAATGAGAATAAAAGAGTTACATTTTCAAAATTAAAAACAAACTTTAGATAAGACATTTAGATAAGCATATAAGAAAAATGTCTATTTAAGACTAAATTAAGGAATAAATAAATTATTTGTGTACACAAAATGAATGTAAAATAATAAAAATTAATTATTTGAACAAATATTATCTATTAAAGAACAAATTTTTCTTAAAAAAAAAAGGATGAAATTAATATCAAAACTTATAATCACTTTAATCTTACAAAATACTTCATAATAATACTACTAATTTAGTTAAAAAAAAAAAAATTATAACATTTATTAAAATATTATCAACAAAACTAACTTATTGATGATAATTATAAGTATTAAATAACTGAAGTAATGAAATGTAAATATAATTCCTACAAAATGTGTTTAACTATACTTTAACACAAATTTTAAAGCAAAATAAAAATTTTTTTTCTTTACACTAATAATTTAAAAAATCGTGAAAAATAGTTTAATTTTTGTTATACAAAATATTTAACATTTAATTGATTTTTTTTAAATATATTTATATATATATAAATAATTATAAAAATACTTTTTCATACACCAAATGAATACATTTTGGGTGCATATAATTTATTTTAAGCATAATAGTGCAAATTATAATTTATGTTACTTATACTTAATTTTTTTTTTTTCGAAACAGGATAAATATTTATAAGCTTCTTATTTACCTTAAATAGAGCTATTGAAAGATTTATAAAAATCATATTAATAAATTAATTTACCTCAAAAAATTTAGCAGCTTCAACAAGAGCATGTAAATTATCTTCTGTAACGTTTGTTTCGCCACAATACATAAACTCAATTAAAGATTTAAGAACACTAAATTTCATATCTTTGAGAACAATCATGGGATGGTTACCCAATTCTCGCTGAAATCAAAAATTTAAAATATAATATTATTTAGATTTGTATAGATAGATACAAGATATTATATTTTATGTGATAACAAACTTAGTATTTAACCTATAAATACAAAAAAAAAAAAATTTAGAATTAAAATTCTAAAAAAATTGTTTACAGAATATAATATAGTAGTAAATAAAACAATTACCTCAAAGTACGGGCTGCAAGCTGCAAGAACCGATCTGTGAACTTTAAGGCTGTGTGTATTGCACATTAAAGTGACATCGACCAATTTCTGTCTTTCCAGGAGGTATCCAAGTCGTGCCACTAAATGCGTAGAATGATCATCCCATGAAACCATAAAACGTGTTGGATTCCCCATCTAAACATTTGAAAACAAACATTAATACAGTGCAGCAGAGACAAGTGAACGAAATGCGAGCAATGGCAAATCTAATTGATAAGAATTGATAGCCTAGTAAATAATAAATGTAGGTACCTATCTGAGGAAATAATAATAATAATAATAGTAGTAGTAAAAAACCACAAAGATAATAAAATTTTATCTTTATGTCATTAAAATCGAATATCAATGGTTTAAAAACATTCGAACATGATGAGCATCTACTAATGGCAAAACATTTTAAGTGTCATTGTACTTGGAAAACCGGCTTAATGACATAAGCATAAATGAACGCGTGAAATGTTTTAAAGACTTGGAAACAATCAAGCACCTACCTATCTAATGCTGCAGCAAACCAATTGTTTAGTAATTATTACATGCTAAAAAACTAATCAAGTCAGTATCAGAGAATCCAATGTACTAGAGGCAGTAACCAATAACTGGGTATTGGGTATCATAGAGCAATATTTATGTAAAATATTGTTATGAACTTGGAGAGTAAAAAACACTTTCTCTGCCGTGTGTGCACCATAGATTTCAGCAGGCAGTAATAATAATAATAACAATCATCATCATACTGTTACAACTGCAGCAATTCGATTTAATTGAGACGATTAAGCTCTAGTAACACACATATATATATATCTTATAGGCACCTTCATGTACATACATGCATAACACATTATGAAAGCAAATTGCTGTTAATTAACATTGGAAACAGTCGTAGAGCAGTGTCCATTGGCAGAATGGAAGTTTATGAGGAAAAAAAACAGATGAAAAACCGAAAGTCAAGGGTTCGGTGGCAAACATAAACGTTTGTACGGAGCACGACGGGGACGGAACGATGAGTCCAAGAGATGGACATCTAAGGTGCTAGAAACGGGGACAAGCACGCGATGGTCAAGACCACGAGCGGCCAAGAGGCTCACGTTAAGGCTCCCTTGTACGTGCCAAGGCCCGAGTCCGAACGGAAGGGGAAGGGGAAGAGGAGAAACGTCGTGAAGCAGATGCTACGGGAAAACATATGACCCGCGAACTGATGCACGGACGGGCTCGGGGGTGTCCAAGGCTGTCCGCGCGCGCGGCACTGCTGTTCGACCGACTCGTCGGGAACGCGGGGACACGATGACGACGACGACGACGTCAAAAGCACGGGAAACGCGTAGGCGCGCGGCCGTCGCTCACGCTTACCTTTTCGGCGCAGGACATGGACAGGCACTACTACGTCGATGACGACCACATCAGCATCGGGGCTACGTGGACACGGCACATGCCCGAACGGCCAACAACGGCGAATGGGTCGCGGACGGGAACGCGGAACGCAACGGCGACGATGACGACGACGACGACGACGACGACGAGGGAGACTGATGGCACGGGCGGCACTGCGGAGACGACTGCGACACGGACGACAACGGTAACGATAACGATGACGGCCGCACGGACATTATATCGTGGACGGCGTCGTGACTGATCCTATTCGCCGGGCCGCGATGTCCACATACGTTGCTGTAGTGGTGCTCGTCTCTCACTTTGTCCTTACACGCTCAAGTTCTCCGACCGCGGTGCTGTCGCTGTTGCCGACCAAGTGCTTCAGGTGCCCGTCGGCCTCCCGTCGTCTCGGCGTCCGACACGGTGCAAATATACGCGGTACGACGATACCGATCGCGCTAGTGTTATTGTTGTTGGTTAAAGACTATCGTTGTTGTTACTGCTGCTGCTGCTGCTACTGCTGCTACTGCTGCTGCTGTTGTTGTTGTTGTTGTTGTTGTCGTTCTTTATCCCGGCGCACGGCACTTACGCGTTTTCTCGTATCGATACTGTTATTATTACTGTTGTTATTAAATACGTATGCGATTACGGCGAGTGACGAACAACAACAACAACAACAGCTAAATATCGTCCGTTCGTTTCATCCAATACCTCTCGGACAAGTGTGTACTCATTGACCAACGGAGAAACTATTTTTACGTGCGTTTCAAACGGGTGTGTGTGTGTGTGTGTGTGAATAAAAAGGTAAAGCAAAATACCATCGAGTGCACGGACCGAGTGTAATAATAACAACAATAATAATAAAAATGTTTGGGAATATTCGAGTGATTGTGCGTGTGCGTGTGTATGCGTGAGCACGGGCCGGAGGAGAAGAGGCGCTAGGTGCGTGCGCACCTCGGCGGTGATCGGCCGATAGGTACCGCGGACCGGCGGTGAACGTGACGTCACGGCCGCGTGTCGGTCGGCTCGGTTTTTCGTTCTCCATGAACCGTGCGCGCTCACCCGGCGCCCCACGGCCTTTCCCTCGCTCACCCGTCCACGCGCGGACCTGGCACCGCGACTGCTATCCTTCAGCGACTCGTTCCTGTGCGTGCGTGCGCGTGCACAACATCCGTAGCGTCGCCGCGCGCGTGCTTGAACTGCACGCCGCAGTGTTGCCGCCCGCGCGGTAATTTCCACTCTTCTTGTCCATGTCGAAAGTTCATCTTCTCCCCGGCGGCTCTCGAGGTTCAGGGCGCGCTCGTCGTTCGCGGGTTCCCTTTGTTGGCTTCTCCGGCGCTTTACGGGACCGTAGCTGCCTAATGCGGTCAAAACGGGAGACGACTCGCGTACCAGCGCAAAGGGCCCAAACCTTTTGGCGCCAGCGACGTGTTTTGTGAAATCTTTCCCTCTGGCCGTCGGTCACGCGCTTCGAGCGTTAAAAAAACCGCGGCATTTCCGATCGGTGACAAAATGTTCGGCACTTTAGGACCAATTGATATTGTTCACTCAGCGCACCCACGGATCACACCCACTGTTGGGTCCGGCCCCATCAAAAAATTGTTGCAATGTTTCGCAAACACGGTTTACTGTTGTGGACACATGAATCGAACCGAAAAAATCTTCCCCCCCCC